GATTCTAAAAAATATTTCTTCACTTTAATTTTGGTAATCGTGCATTTCTTAAGTAATCCCTTCTTTTGTCAATTTTTGTCATTTTATCTTTATTTTGATAACATCCTTAGGGGCAATATTATAATAATTTACTGTAGTAATTTTTAAATACCTTGGCAATATCTTTAGTGAATGGACTAACTCTCCCTTGGAGTTTTTTATTTTATCAATATAGTTCCTATTCTTCTTTCTCTCCTCAAGGCTCTCATCAGATATTTTCCTGGTCTATCTCCCCATCTATATCATTTCACACTGATTCTTAGTAAAAGTTCTCATTTTTTTCTTCACTTTTCTTCTAGTTCTTCCTTCTTTTTTTATCACTCTTTGCTCTATCTCTTTCCTTATGTATATTTTTATGTAGGAGTTCCATCTCAGCTATTTCCTTCAAAAGCCCACTGACTTCTCGCGTCTTTCCCTTTTTTTTTCTTGCCCCAATCGCAAATAAGGATTCCTCTTACATATGCTTTATGTGCCTCCACACTGTAGCTAGTGATACATCCTCTGTTTCATTTTCCTCAAAGAACCTCTCTATCTCCTCCCTGATCTTCCGGTCAGTATCTGAATCTGTGAGGAGTGTCTCATTCAACCTCCATGATAAGCCACCTGACCTTTTCCCTCCCATTTTAATTCCATTACTACAGGTGCATGGTCCGAGATAGTTATTGCTTCTATTTCTACTTTAACCAAATCCTCAACAAGTCGATGGTCCACCAAAATTTTCCAGTCCTAGAGTATGTCCTATGTACACTAGAGAAGAAAGTATAATCTCTCTCTCTCATGTGGACAATTCTCCAGCTATCCACCAGTTGGCACTCTTTCATCACCATTTCAATAATCCCATGGACCTATTTCCCCCTCTCTGTACTCCAGATGTTGTATCTATTTGTGGATCCATACATATATTAAAGTCACCCGCCCCACTATTAGATATCCCTTTCCAAAATCCATCAACCTTCTCATAACCCCTTTCAGAAACATCTCTGGCTTCCTATTAGGGCAATATATGTTAACAAGCGTACATTCTATGTCATGTAATTTACCCTTCAAAAACAAAAACCTCCCCTCCGGGTCTGTCTTTCTCTCTTCCAGTTCAAACCTGATGTTTTTTGCAAATCCTATAGCTACTCCCTTAGCTCTCTTAACTGGGGAATCTGCATAATACCATATCGGATGTTGTCTAGAGTATAGCTTAATATTTTTTTTTAAAACTCTAGATGTGTTTCCTGCAAAAAAACACACTGAGGCCTCTCTATGTTGTAGTTCTCTATATAGTCGGAATCTTTTACCGGGCAATTTAATCCATTTACATTATGTGTTACGAAGCCTATTTCTCCTCCATATTTTATTTACCTTCCTTCATTTTACCATTTCCTTCCTCTTTTCCCTTCCCTTACCTCTTCTCTCGTACAAGATGTCAGTTTTAAAAACTCCCTATCCCCAGTCCCCCCCCTCTTCTCTCCCTCCCCTTCTCCCCCCCCCTCCATCCCCCTTCCCTCCCTCCCCTTCCCTCCCCTCTCCCACCACGAACCCCTCCCCCCTTCCCCCTCCCCCCCCCTAGTAGGCTTTTTATTTTCCTATAAATCATCTGTGGAAAAAAAATCCCACTTTTGATTCCTATCTGGGGGCTCAGCTCCGTCCATGTGCCGCTCACCTTCCCCCCTCCTCCCCATTGTCCCTCTATCTATTTGCTCTCTGTTTTTCTCTTCTAACTAGCTGCCATTCCTCTTTTCCCAACATATATAACTCTCTCTCCTCCTCTTCCCATCCCGGTATCTCTATTCTCTGCAGTTCAAATTTATTACAAAAGTCTTTCATATCTTCAGAGGATCTCAAAAAAGCTGTGACTCCATCTTTCCATCCGATTAAGCATGCTGATCGACCCCATCTATATTGCACATTCTGTTTCTTCAACAGTTCCAATAATGGTTTCAACGATCTCTTTCTTCTCGATGTCTCAGCTGCTATGTCTGCAAAAATTTGAATATTTTTCTCTCCATAATTGATATTCGTTCTTCCTTTAATCTTCTTCCATATCTCATCCTTATCTCTATAATTATGGAACCGAACGATTATATCTCTTGATTTTTCTGGGCCTTTTTCTTGTTGAAGCTTTCCTATCCTGTACACTCCGTCTAATTTATACATTTCCGCACCAGATCTGTCCATTATGGCATTCAAAATTTTTCCTGATGTGGTCTCCTTTAGATCTTCCCCCTGTTGCAGCTCTGGGACTCCTCTTATTCTAATGTTATTTCTCCTGTCCCTATTTTCTTGATCCTCCATCATATAAAGCAGTCTTTTTTGTTCCTTCCGAGTATCTATTATCAGTTTTTTCTAATTTTGGGATAATTTGGGTATGGGATTTAACTGTTTCCTCCGTTTCTTCCACTCTAGATAACAACTGTCCCATTTCTTTCCGAATTATCCCCATCTCTTTGCTTCATAGATTTTTCTAAATTTTTTTTTTTTTTTTTTTTTTGAAACATCTCCGCCATTTCCCTTTTTATTTGGTATTTGCAGTTCTTTTTCAGTTTCTCCCAACTCCATACTTTCCAGTGTTTGTTGGCTATTGTTAGCTGGTCCCAGGGAAGATCTTAAGTATTGTCTAAGCTTATTTCCCTTTCACTTCTATCACTTATTTCCTGGGATTTTACTGGAGTTAATTTCCCCTGCGACGTGTATTTTTTTATTGTTGCAGTTTGGGAGTTCTTGGGCATATTTCCTTTACTATTTTTCCCTTTCATGTCACATATAGGATTTTTAGAGCTTTTTCAAGATTCTGGGGTATATGCTTAAACTGTCACTGCTTTCTTCAGACCCTCTCTGGGAATTCCCTTCTTATTCTTTATGTTGGATGTCAGATAGTCAGTAGCACAGCTTGAAAAACTAACATTTAGGGAGACCCACAGCTCTCACTCACCCTCCTGGAGTAGCTTCCGAGTTGCAGTCCTGGGTTGCCCTTTCTCCTGCAGCCGTTGTCCTCCTCATCCAGGGAATTCCCTTGGGTCTCTTTTATCCTCCTCTGCATATACCCCGAGAAATCCCTGGAGGACAGCTTCTGCAGTGGATGTCGGCGCTTCCCCTGCCTGCTAGGACGCCGGCCGGTCTCTTTCTCTCCCAGCTGTACACCTCGGCAGCCCTCGTGGTATCGCCACTCCTCCCTGTCTCCCGGCAACCTCACACTCTCTCACCAGGATCCCCGCAGGCAGACTTCACAGGGGAGGACAAGCTGCCTCCCTACTCTCCGGCCGACAGCCGCATCGCCGCCGGGATCTCCGGGATCAGGTCAGTCTCCAGCCGCCCTCCGACTCAGCTAGTCAGTCCCTCGGGACAAATTAGGGAGGATAGGTGGGGGAGGCTATCGGAGAGTTCCTATACTCCGCTCTCCTGTGCCGCCATGTTCGGGCTCCGCCCCCACCGCCTCTCTGCTCCTCACATACGCTGGAATGTTTGACCTTGGTACAGCCAATCTAATTTCTTGAGGTCCAAGAATGTCAGAACAGTACAGATATCCCCCAAATGACCCCTTTTTGCAGAGTAGACAGTCCGACGTACTTCATAAGAGGAATGGCGAGTTTTTTTTGAAGTTGTATTTTTTTTTTTTGTCATAATTTTTTCGCAAAATAAAAAAATTTTTTTTTTTACATACTGTCACCAGTGCAGTACAGCATCATCATATAACTGGCATGGCGGTGAACATGGACACTGACTGGTGACAGTATGAAAAAAAAAAAAAAAAAATATATATATATATATATATATATATATATATATATATTTTTTTTTTTTTAATTATGTAATTATTTTTAATTTTTTATTACATTTTTTTTTATTTTTTTTAAGATTTGTTTTTCATATTTTACTATGACCAAAGTAGTACAATGTTACCATCGTAACATTGTACTACTTTGGGGAAGTGATCAGTATTTGTTTTTTTTTTTTACATAATTTGCTTATAGCAAAGAATTACTTTGCTATAAGCAAGCATTTACCTGAATGACATCGATTTTTTTTTTTTTTTTTTTTTTTTGTGCTTAGCTGTGATTTGGCCACAGCTAATCACATGACATGTGCATGTGACCTGCTGCGACCATTCACAGCTAGGCACTAGTATACAATAGATGGCATGAATGAAGCCATCCATGTATACAACTGTCATGTGACCTGCTGTGATTGGTCACAGCAGGTCACATGGTACCGGCAACGGGGGCCGGTACTCAGATCTGTCATCAGCCGTGTCCGAGGTACACGGCCGGTGATAGATCGTGCCGCTGCGCGGCTCTGCAACCGCGCGAACTGCGCATGTACGGGAGGACGCCAAATGGCGTACCCCCCGGAAAGCTAAAGCATTTTTGCGGCCGCCAAACGGCTATAGGCCGGGCGGCTAATGGTTAATATTTAAAATATAAAGTCAGACTCCATTCACACTTATGCAACTTGTCATGCAACTTTGGGATCCAAAGTCGCATGACAAGTGGCCCGCCATGTTTCCAAGTGTGTATGATTCATATCTGCGCGACTTCAAAGTAGTTCCTGCACTACTTTGACTTGACTTTCATGTGACTTGAGGGCCATAGACATCATGTAAATCCTCCAAAGTTGCAGGAAAGTCACACCTGAATGTTGTACATGCGACTTGTGTGCGACTTTGTACAACAGAAACAATTATCCTTGGTGAAAGCCAAAGTTGCACTCATCCAAAGTTGCGCCCAAGTCCCACTGTAAAGTTGCAATGAAAATCGCAAAATTTTGAAGTTGCACAAGTGTGAATGGAGCCTCACTGTAGCATATGTAGTATTAGTGGTGTTTCTGTGTGTTTTTAATGTAGGAATTTAGATGGCTAAAGCAGTCATAAAAAAAAGATTTTAACACACACAGCTACTACTATGGAGGTTGGTGATTGTCGGCTTGTATTTTTTACGTAACACTGCTGTTCTGACCTTGTCTTTTGTGCTGTATAGGCAGCAGAAAGTGGATCCATGTCCTCTTGTCTCTTCAAGATCAAATGTGTTTGCAGATGATGAATTTGATGTCTTCAGCAGAGACGTTGTGGATACATCAAGGATTTGGAGAGGGAGAAAGTAAGAATCAGTTTGATTAATGGTACCTAGATCTTACTGGCAGTATTACCATTGGGACCAGTAGTGTAATGTTCTTTAGTTCTGCCTTGTAAAACACTACATTCCAGAGGTCAGTATTACTCTTAGGGGCATTTTATTGCAAAACTAGAACGGAAGTTTAAACAAGTTTAATTAGCCACATGCTCTGCACAGTTGTTTAATGGAATTGTATAGTCAGACTCCCACCATGCAGCTATGATTTAATAGTATTCTTTCAACTAAAATATTTTTGAAACTGAGACTGTAATGCAGAGTTCCCAAAAATGTGGGGAACAAGTGTGTGATATAACAAACCCAGCCACATTAAATTAACCCATAGGCATAGATAATCCAATCTACTATGGCCCAGGCTTTTATGCAAATTTTATTGCTTTTAGTTGATATCTAGAATAGGATTTATGTATACTATATAATAAAGCACAGTCATATGTATTCTTTTTTCTTTGCTTTTCTTATCAAGTTGCTTTTTCCTCGTATTAGACATTATTATTATTATTATTATTATTATTATTGATGTTTATATAGTGCTGACAATTTACGAAGCACTTTACATATATATTGTGCATTCTTATCAGTCCCTGCCCTCAAGATGCTTACAGTCCTAAAGTCCCTAAGTCAGATTCTTAAATACACATTCTAGGGCCAATTTAGACAGGAGCCAGGCGTGTCTTTTGGAGTATTGTGGGTGTAGTATACAGCTGCTTGAGTGTAAGGAAGGCAAACTTTAAATACAGTATGCTGTATAGTTCTAGCTCCCTTTTCACACAGAACCTTTCACAGCTATAACTATTTAAGTGTACTTTTTGTCCAATACTAGTAGCAAAAAAATAAATAAATAATAATAAAAAAATAAATTATATATATATATATATATATATATATATATATATATATATATATATATATACACATATACACTCTAATAAAATTTAAAAATATACAGTTGTGTTCAAAATAATAGTGTGTTGAAAAAAGTGAATAAAGCTCAAAATCCTTCTAATAGCTTTTATTTCCATACACACAAATGCATTGGGAACACTACACATTCTATTCCAAATCAAAACATGAAGAAAAATATATCAAATTTGTGTTGTTCCTCTAAAAAAAATTGAAGAAAAGTGAATATTAGACTGTTCAAAAAAATAGCAGTGTTTGTATTCTTCTTTACAAACTCAAACATTCACTATATAAACTGAAAAATGTTTGAAGATTTTGCTTTCCTTTGAATCACTTAATTAATATTTAGTTGTATAAGCACTGTTTCTGAGAACTGCTGTACATCTGTGTTGCATGGAGTCAACCAACTTCTGGCACCTGTGAACAGGTATTCCAGCCCAGGATGATTGGACTACATTCTACAGTTCTTCTCTATTTCTTGGTTTTGCCTCAGAAACTGCATTTTTGATGTCACCCCACAAGTTTTCTATTGGATTAAGATCCGGGATTGGGCTGGCCACTCCATAACGTCAATCTTGTTGGTCTGGAACCAAGATGTTGCACGTTTATTGGTGTGTTTGGGGTCATTGTCTTGTAGGAACACCCATTTCAAGGGCATTTCCTCTTCAGCATAAGGCAGCATGACCTCTTCAAGTATTCTGATGTATTCAAACTGATCCATGATCCCTGGTATGCGATAAATAGGCCCAACACCGTAGTATGAGAAACATCCCCATATCATGATGCTTGCGCAACCATGCTTCACTGTCTTCACAGTGTACTGTGGCTTGAATTCAGTGTTTGGGGGGTCGTCTGACAAACTGTCTCCGGCCACTAGACCCAGGAAGAACAATCTTATTTTCATCAGTCCACAAAATGTTGTGCCATTTCTCTTTAGGCCAGTCAATGTGCTCTTTGGCAAATTGTAACCTCTTCAGCACGTCTTTTTTTCCAACAGTGGGACTTTGCGGGGGCTTCTTGCAGATAGCTTGGCTTCACATAGGCGTCTTCTAATTGTAACAGTACTCACAGGTAACTTTAGACCTTCTTTGATCTTCCTGGAGCTGATTGTTGGCTGAGTCCTTGCCATTTTGGTTATTCTTCTATCCATTTGAATGGTAGTTTTTCGCTTTCTTACACGTTTTTTCAGGTTTTGGTTGCCATTTTAAAGCATTTGCGATCATTTTAGCTGAGCAGCCTATCATTTTCTGCACTTCTTTATATGTTTTCCCCTCTCCAATCAACTTTTTAATCAAGGTTCGCTGTTCTTCTAAACAATGTCTGGAACGACCCATTTTCCTCAGAATTTCATAGATAAATGCACTGTAACCAGCATGTACAACATTTGCTGCCTTCCTTCCTTAAATAAGGGCAATAATTGCCACCTGTTTTTCAAAGAATGAATGACCTCACTAATAGAACTCCACACTGCTATTATTTTGAACATGCCCCTTTCAATTAGTGATTCAATTACACAGAATCAGCAGCATGCATGTCATGACTGTTGGGTCTATTGGATTTCTATTACTCTACTACACCTGCTCATAAATTATTTGCCATGTAGAAATATCATTTCTACCAAAAAAAAAATAACAGTGATTGATCAGGTTAGTGATGTCTGACTGCTATTATTTTGAACACAACTGTATATTCGCTAATAAAATAAAAAAAAATATGTATATCTCAAATGAGATGCACACGCATGTAAAACTAAAATTTGTATGAAATCATATGATAGCTAATTGCTGCATACCTGCTTTTGATTTTGAAAATGTTGAAGACAGACTTCCAGGCATATAGCATAAGAGAGTTAGCAATGGTAGCTTGCTTTGTACTGTACAATAGGACCTTTTATTACTTGCTGCATTACTTGCAAAATCTTACAGCCTGAGTGTAGCTGGTAGGATTTGTCCTTTGTGTTAGTTCCTCTTTTTTTCAGTTAAAATCTCCCTCCATCCCCGTCCCCACCTCCACCGCAATCTTCATCTTCACACACAATCTATGAATAGGGAGGGCAGAGCTATCAATCTTCTGCCCATTCTCCACACTTAAATCCTGTATCATTTATAAAAGCTGTAGTACTGCTTCTATGAATGGCACAACTAGGTGGAAGGGTGGGTTCTCTTGATGAGAGCCTTCAGCAGCTCTTTAGGCAAGCCATAGATGATGCAATTTTATTCTGTACAGCCACAGGTTGCAGGAAAGAACATTGCACGATTTTTTTTTTTTTTTTTTTTTTTTTTTTTTTTTTTTTTACTCAGCCACGCCACACTGAAAAATTGTGGCAGCAGGGATAGTGGCAGGGACAGAGCAAGATTTTAACTAAGGGGAATCCACACGAGGAACATCCTACTGATTTGTAAGTTACATCACTTTTCTGTTTTTAATTTTAGCTACACTTGGACTTTAAACATTTTTTCCTCTTTCTAGGAAACCTGAAACTGCTGCACAGCTGCTGGCAGATAAAAGTGCAATACTGGCCCAGAAAGAGCGCGCTACAGTCAGTATAGTATGGTTTCTGAAGAACATACAGTGGATGCAGATTACGATGATGAGTATGATGATACATATGATGGGAACCAGATTGGAGCAAATGATGCAGATTCTGATGACGAGCTGATCAGTCGCAGGTAAGTGTAATCTTTGGCTCTTTATCTGTTTGTTGCAGAACTCTCTTGTGTAACATAAAAAAAAACTCCAGCATCAGCTTTTTGGCTCACGCCAACTAGCGTTTCTGTTGCACAAAATGTGACTTGATCTAGCAATCCAAAGGCTATTGATTATAAACCACTAGCTGTTCTTTCTCTACATCCTTCTATTATCTTGTGAATCAATGTATTCATTGTGTATCATGTGTTATTTTCTTCCCAATATTTTAAGGCCGTTCACCATTCCTCAAGTGTTAAGATCCCGAGACCAAGAAAATGGTGTAGAGGAGGAGATAGATGATGATGAGGCTGAAGACGAAGCTGTTCCAAAGGTATGTAAAGAAAAAAGGGGAGTTTACATTTACAGTAAAAATATACACATACTGTATGTGCTTCTAAGCCCTCATTCACATACCTCTTATTTTTATTTATTTAAAAAGGAGAAATTGATCTGGGATGTAGAACTAAACATTTAACATTTTGACACTTCCCAGATTAATTTCCCCTTGCAATTAGAAGCTCGCAATGTCATAATCTGCACACACAGAATGTTATTTACTCTAAAAAGCAGCTCAAATGTATATTGCCATTAAAAACACTTTCGTGCCAAAACCGCAGTGGCTTTGGAGGTTTTACATGTATGAAAAGTAAGTTTTGTACAAAACTGTAAAAAAAAAAAAAATTTTCTTCCCAAATTTATTGCCATATGTTTGAAAATACTACAATTTTATGGCCATATGCTATATATATTTTAATATATATAAATTTTTTTTTTTTTCTGGACATACATAAGATATTAGAAATGGTATTTTTTTGTATTTTCATAATATTTATTAATAAAAATGCATTTTGCAAAATCATGCAGCCTATGTGTGGTATATATTATATACAGTCCTGGCCGAAATTGTTGGCACCCTTTATTTCTCCAGGAAATCATGTATTTCCCCACCTCCACGAAATCGTATTTCATTAACCACACATGTATTGCTATAGGGAGGGCAGAGCATGTTTATTCTGCCCATTCTCCACTCTGTAAAATGGGTAAAACATTTATAAAAGGGAGGAAAGTATGCTTCTATGAATGGCACAACTAGGTGGAAGGGTGGGGTTCTCTTGATGAGAGCCTTCAGCAGCTCTTTAGGCAAATATAGATGATGCAATTTTGATTCTGTAAACAGCCAAGTAACAGTTGCAGGAAATAAAATCACATGAAAGCACGATTTTTTTTTTTTTTTTTTTTTTTTTTTTTTTTTGGTCTGTCTGTGCCACACTGAAAAATTGTGGCAACAGGGATAGTGGCAGGGACAGAGCAAGATTTTAACTAAGGGGAATCCACACGAGGAACATCCTACTGATTTGTAAGTTACAAGTCACTTTTCTGTTTTTAATTTTAGCTACACTTGGACTTTGTCCAACATTTTTTTCCTCTTTCTAGGAAACCTGAAACTGCTGCAACAGCTGCTGCAGATAAAAGTGCAATACTGGCCCAGAAAGAGCGTACAGTCAGTATAGTATGGTTTCTGAAGAACATACAGTGGATGCAGATTACGTCCGATGGTATGATAACATATGATGGGAAACCCCAGATTGGAGCAAAGATGCAGATTCTGATGACGAGCTGATCAGTCGCAGGTAAGTGTAAAATATCTTGGCTCTTTATCTGTTTGTTGCAGAACTCTCCGTGTAACATAAAAAAAAACTCCAGCATCAGCTTTTTGGCTCAGGAGCCCCCCACTGCGTTTCTGTTGCACAAAAAAAGTGACTTGATCTGCACTCCAAAGGTATTGATTATAAACCACTAGCCTGTTCTTTCTCTACATCCTTCTATTATCTTGATGAATCAATGTATTTTCGTGTATCATGTGTTATTTTCTTCCCATATTCAAGGCCGTTCACCATTCCTCAAGTGTTAAGATCCGAGTACCAAGAAAATGGTGTAGAGGAGGATGATAGATTTGATGATGAGGCTGAAGAGGAAGCTGGTCCAAAGACTGTAAAGAAAAAAAGGGGAGTTTACATTTACAGAAAAAATATACACATACTGTATGTGCTTCTAAGCACCTCATTCACATGGGCCCTTATGTTTTATTTCCTGGTGTCTTCCAGGAGAAATTGATCTGGGATGTATAAAAAACATTACTCCCAGATTAATTTTCCCGCTGTGCTTAGAAGCTCGCAGCAGTGTCTAATCTGCCACAATGAGCACAGAATGTTATTTTCTCTAAAAGCAGCTAAATGTAATGCCTTTTAACACTGTTCGTTGCCACAACCGCAGTGGCTTTGGAGGTTTTACACACAAGGAAAAGTAAGTTTAGTACAAAACTGTAAAAAAAAAAAAAAATTTCTTCCCAAAATTTATTGCCATATGTTTTGAAATACTACAATTTTGGCCATATTCAATATGTTTTATATATAATATTGTATATATATAATATAATATATAATTAAGGGTATAATATATTATATATATATATATATTTGGGGTTTTTTTTTTTCTCTGCACATACAGTATATTTGAAATGTATTTTTTAAAAAAATTTTCATAATATTTTGTAATAAAAATGCATTTCAAACATGCAGTATGTGTGTGTGTAATATATATATATATATATATATGTGTGAAATACTGTGTGATGTGTGTGTGTATAGGTGTGCCATATATATTTGTATATGACTGTATATGTGTGTGTGTGTGTGTGTGTGTGTATATATATATATATGTATATATGTATGTGTGTGTGTGTGTGTGTATATATATATATATATATATATATATATATATATATATATATATATATATATATATATATATAGCAATATATTTGGGAAAATTTGTTTTTTTTTTTTTAAATATATTTATCTTCCATATGGGTTGGCACAACTCCATCTTCTATATGTTGCATTAAATTACCCATTTGTTTGGGTGTAATTTTACTGAAAGTTTGTTTCCTAAACTATTGCGCTAATATCATTTGACATTAAAAATTTGTTCTCTAGGGTGTCTGCTTTCAGAAAATATATACCGTTTGGGGGATTTTATGTAGCCTTCAAGCCTAAAATGATTTGTTAAATGTGTGCAAAAAACGCAAAAAATGGCTGTAGCAGGGAAAGGTTAGACCAAATTAAAGTGGAACTAAACTGTGAACACTACTTTAAATATTAATTTTTAACATTCTGAGCAAACTCATCCATCGATCCATGTCTCGATGCTTTATTTTGTTGAGAAATCACTTTGAAAAATGTCCCCTAGCATTTGTAGCTGGCCACCTTGAGTATGAGCAGATGATTCATGTAGCATTTTCACTTCCTGAAATCCTTCTGCCCATAGGCCAGGCATGCAGGCGGGAGGGTGTTCTTAGCTTAGATAGCCCCTCCTCTAGATAAACAAAAAAAACAAATGGCCGTGATGACTCCTGGGATGTATTTTGGCCTAGGACATAAACCAGTAAGCAACTGAAAGTGGTAGTAAAGCCACTTCTTTGATTTTTACCTATAGATGAGTCTGTAATTACCTATAGGTACAGTAAATGTCTCCCTAAATGTGCACAGTTTAGGAGATATTTACTTTTGTAGCATCCGGTGATGTCACTGGTGTATTCTCTCTGAAGGAACGGTATACCCGTGCCATTCCTGCAGAACTCTGTGCCGCGACTCAGCCACTCATACAGCTGAAGCCTGCAAACCTGAAAGAGAGCCCAGGTGAAGATGGAAGCGCCGTGGCAGCACGCTGCTGGAGGGCTTCGGTTTCAGGTAAGTCTGTCCCGGGGGCCCTTTTTTTTTTTTTTTTTTTTTTTTCCTTTTGGTGATGTTTACCGCTTGAAGAAATGTTTTAAAAAAAAAAAAAAGTTTAAAACATAGGAAGGTATAATATACAGTATTTATATGTTTTAACTTTTTTTTTTTTCTTTGGTAGGATTACCGCTTTAAGAAATGTTTAAAAACAAAAGAAAAAGTTAAAACATATAAATACTGTATATTATACCTTCCTATCTATTTACTAAGGTTATTAGCATAAGGATTAATTGATTGTAATTTAGTTCCACTTTAACAGACTGTGTGTATTTATTCCATTCAAAAATTATTATGCATAAATCTCCTATAAACCCATATCTTATAAATGCATATAATTGCATGCCTGAGAATGTGAATGCGGTCCATGGAATAAATGTAACCCTTGTGTTCTTCACTTTATTTCTGTGTAAACAGTAACTGACCAGCCACACCTTCTGTCTTAACAGCCTGATCACTTTATTCAGGACCCTGCAGTGCTAAGGGAACGAGCAGAGGCAGAAGAGCAAATTATTATGCAAGGAAAGGGTAAGCATTACCCTATTATTAGTTGTCAAACAAATATGATTTCTTTATATGAAGGGGTGAGCAAAACGTTGGACAGAGGGGTGGCGGTGGACATGGTATACTTGGACAGAGGTGTGGTGGTGGACGTGGTATACTTTGAGTTTGCAAAAGCGTTTGACACAGTTCCCCACATATGGCTAATGTGTAAGGTAAAGTCTACGGGCTTGGAAAAATCTGTATGTAAATGGATAGAAAACTGGCTAAAAGATCGTATTCAAAGAGTGGTGGTTAATGATTCATACTCTGAATGGTCTAGGGCAGGGGTAGGCAACCTGCGGCTCTCTAGCTGTTGTGGAACTATATTTCCCATGAGGCATTGCAAAGATTACAAAACTGACAGTTACAGCTCTGACTTGCAGAGGCATGATGGAACTTGTAGTCCTGCGGCTCCCAGGTTGCCTACCCTTGGTCTAGGGTCATCAGTGGTGTACCCCAAGGTTCAGTGTTGGGACCCTTACTTTTTAATATATTTATAAACAATATAGGGTCTGGGATTAAAAATCCCATTTCAGTCTTTGCAGATGACACCAAGCTGTGCAGTGGAATAACGTCCTTACAGGATGTCTCCAATTTACAAGCCGACCTCAATGCACTGTTTAATTGGGCAACTATGTGGCAAATGAGGTTTAATGTTGATAAATGTAAGGTGATGCACTTGGGGGCTAAGAATATACATGCATCATACATACTAGGGGGGTACAACTGGGGGAATCAATGGTGGAGAAGGATCTGGGGGTTCTGGTAGATCACAAGCTTAATAATGGCATGCAATGCCAAGCTGTGGTTTCTAAAGCGAGCAAAATCCTCTCTTGTATTAAAAGAGGTATAGACTCCAGAGAGAGAGATATCATATTACCCCTGTACAAATCATTAGTAAGACCTCATCTGGAATATGCAGTTCAGTTTTGGGCACCAATTCACACAAAGAACATTGGGGAACTGGAGAAAGTACAGAGAAGGGCAACCAAACTGATATGAGGCATGGAGGAGTTCAGCTATGAGGAAAGATTAGAGGAACTGAATTTATTCTCTCTTGAGAAGAGAAGATTAAGGGAGGATATGATCAACATGTATAAATACATCAGTGGTTCATATAGTGAACTCGGTGTAGAGTTATTCACCCTGAGGTCATCACAGAGGACAAGGGGGCACTCTTTACGTCTGGAGGAAAAGAAATTTAATCTCCAAACAGGGAAAGGTTTCTTTACAGTGAAAGCTGTGAAAATGTGGAATAGACCCCCTCAAGAGTTGGTTCTGGACAGCTCAGTGGATTGCTTCAAAAAAGGCCTGGATTCTTTCTTGGATACACAGAATATAACTGGATACTAACATTTATAGGTAAAGTTGATCCAGGGAATATCCGATTGTCTCTCGGGGGTTCAGGAAGGAATTTTTTTTCCCAGCAGGAGCAAATTGGATCATTCTTTGCTGGGTTTTTTTTTTTGCCTTCCTCTGGATCAACTGTAGGTATAGGATTATAACTTTTTTTTTTTTTTTTAAAATGGTTGAACTGGATGGACTTTTGTCTTTTTTCAGCCAGACTATGTAACTATTATATTAGAAATACAGCCTAATATTGGATATATTTCAACCTGCATACAGCATTTTCAGGGTAGTTTGCCAACCGTGCAGTGTGTAACAATGGCTCCCTTGACGTAGGGCTCTTAGGACACTTTCACATGGGCAGTCAATCTGGATCCATCTGTCAGTTTTTAGAGGGATCTAGACTGAACTACAATGTATGTCACTGGGCGGGTGAATGGGGCAGGGCAGTTGGTAGTCTACAGCAGAAATCTAGGAGGGAAGATATTCTGTGCAGTTCACAGGAAGTTACAAAGACACTGCATTTCCTACAAGATCAACAAGTATATTCTGTATTTGCTGAAAATGTTCTTAAAAAAAACAAAACCAAACTGAAGCAGCCATCACATGTAAGGACTGTAAGCTGCAACATATTGCAGTTTTGTTCTTGGATTTAGTTATCCTTTCATAGTGTTTCTTCACCCAACTATGGTCATCAGTACTTGCAGTCTCTGTTATCATTTGCAATACTGACAGAATTAATTTGTCCAAATGCAACACAATTTGATGGTTTTGGGCTGGGCAAAAAGAGGAAAAGTCTAACTGTGGTTGCACAATCATCTTATGTGACTGCACATGGACAGCTGCTTTTATAAAGCACTGAGTGACATTGGTGGCATACTGCCTATAAGCAATAATATTGATTGTACCTTGGGGAAGTCCTTTATCCAAAAACAGAACAGACATTTTTGCATTCCCCGTTCAACTTCTAAAAAGTTCTTTCAGAGTGCTTTCCACCGTGAGCCATTTTTCTAAACTGCACACACCTTTTTTGGTACATATTTTAGGGATTGATCACACCTAGTGCATTTGCACACATGCATTTTTCCCTGTATAGCCTTTAGTGTTTGTATGTAAACAGTAGTGAATGGCAAAAAGATACAGTACACAGTCCTTTGTCTGTTCTGCTGCAACCACAGCCATCACCCTGAATGGGAATTACAATAAACATGGTATGTTGCCCTACAATAGATTAATGTGCATATTCATTTTCTTCCCTGAAAATACATATAGGTTACTTTTTGTTCTTTTGTGAAGTGTTTGATACTTTATGATTTATTGAAGAGAATAGGTTATAAATACCCCAACTGCAACTCAGAACAAGGAAAATCTAGTTCAGTCTGGCGGCAATGCATTCTCTGCATTTAACTGAAAATCATTTATCCTCCAGCTATAGAATGCCCTGACCACAGTGTGTTTTACAGTATGCCACTGTCCAGCTTTCTGTTTATTAAGAGAAAGACAACACAATTGCTGTAGAAAACCTTATCAGTGGGAGTTGTCTCATTAGTGAGAACATGGAGCTACAACTGAAGGTTTTTGTAATCCTTTGTAAAGGTTTGTGCCAGTTGGTTGACGTAATGTAGCTTCAGTTTGAACATTGCTTCAAAATATTGCACGCAGCACCTTTCCTGATGTGTTGGAGGTGGAAGGCAATTACTTTTTTCCTTTCTTTTTTTTTTTCAGTTTCCGACATGACAACACATCAGCTGTTACGGGAACAGCCCGTGGCCAGGGACAAAGTCGTGACACAGTTCAGGAGCGCAGGAAAAAAGAAGCAAACAAGGGAGCAAGGGCAAATCATAACCGAAGAGCAATGGCAGACCGCAAGAGGAATAAAGGAATGATACCATCCTAGCATTTCATCAGTGCTGGACTAGTATAGCAAATATATTTTGTATTCATTAATAAACATGCTGTGCTTTGTACATTGTAATTTTAACATTTTCTTAAATAGTCACACTTAAAGCAGTATTTATACTATTTTACCTGCTTCCTTTGCCATCAAGAATTGTAAATAGATGCCTGTTTATATCCTAGCATTACTCAAATGTTCTGGGGGCTCCAAAACCGGAATAGGTCTGCTCCAGGAACCCCCCCATTGTATTTTTCTACTGGTTAATGAAGCTGCCCATCACAGTAAAGGACTGGTAGCGAGATCTTCTGCATACTACTGCAAGAGCTGATCTGTCCAGTTGAAGCTGTGCAGTGTGGCCATCCAGAGCCTAGCCTTTGGAGTGCCACATCCAGAGCCTGCTGGACCAGACATTGTGGGGATAACCTGTAAATGCTTTTCAGGCTTTGCTCTTTTAAACGTTGGCTGCAAAGCACTTCCTAGCTCCAGAGCAGCTGACATTGCCTTAAAACTTGGCCTGTTTCTTAAGTCTTACTTCATGAGAGAGCCAGTTGGGCCAAGCATTGGGAGCTACCTCTAGTACACTCAACAATGGGCATGTTTAAAATTCCCTTTTACTTTTCCTGGTTTCCACTAAAACATATTTTCTGAAAACAGTAATTTGATGGCAGATCCAAATTTTTATGTCACAAGCTATTAGTGCAACAGTTGATCAAGGGTGATATTTCAGTAAATAAAAAAAAAAAAAACCCGCTAAAGTTGATTTAGGGCATACAAATGCAAAATATTACCAAATTGTTTGGTAAAATATAAAAGATGAGGTTGCCTCATGTAAATAGTTAGCAAACATATCAAGCCTTAAAATTGTACACGCTTATGAAACTAGCTTGAGTGCTCAAAGCTTTTTATAGGCGAGACTTATACCCCTGAATCTCCAATGGTATGTTCCTATGGGTCCTATCATGCATGCAAATAAAACACCAGGGAGGATCGCATAGCGTAAAACCATTCAGTGTTATTAACCACTTGAGCTCCAGAGGATTTACCCCCCTTAATGACCAGGCCTCTTTTTGCTACTCGGCGCTGCACTAATTCAACTAATTGCGCGGTCATGCAATGCTGCACCCAAACGAAATGTACGTCCTCTTTTTCACACAAATAGAGCTTTCTTTCGGTGTAATTTGATCACCTGTGCACTTTTTATTTTTCACGCTATAAACAAAAAAAGGCCAAAAATTTTGAAGAAAAACAATATTTTTTATTTTCAGCTATAAAAAATATATAGTAAACTCAAAGTTAGTAATAAATTTAGGCCAAAATGTATTCTGCTATATGTTTTTGGTAAAAAATCCCAATAAGTGTATATTGATTGCTTTGTGTGAAAGTTATAGCGTCTACAAACTATGGTATAAATACTGCAATTTACGCCATTTTTCTGCTATACAGCGCTGCGCTAGTTTAATGGACAATTGCGCGGTCATGCAATATGGTACATAAATGAAATTTACATCCTTTTTTTTTCCCCCACAAATTGAGCTTTTTTTCGGTGGTATTTGATCGCCTGTGCGGTTTTTATTTTTTGCGCTATAAAAAAAGGCTGACAATTTTGAGGAAAAAAAAACAATATTTTGGACTTTTTGCTATAAAACATGTCCAGTAAAAAAAAAAAAATGCAAAAATCAAATTTAGTCATAAATTTCTGCCAAAATGCATTCTGCGACATTCTGCATTCTACACCCAATACGTGTAAATTGGTTTACGTGAAAGTTATAGCGTTTACAAATGGCGGGAAAGATACTGGGATTTTTAGTTTTTTTTTTATACTAATAATGGCGGCAATCAGCGAATTATGGCGGCGTTCAGGGACTTATGGCAGCGACCAGCGACTTATGGCGGGACTGCGGCGGACATTCTGACATTGGGTGGTACTGACTTGGGGTCACTGACATCCCCAAAAACACTAATACAGTGATCAGTGCAAAAAAAAAAAAAAAAACTGACACTGTACTAATGGCAATGGGGAGGAAGGGGTTAACTTTATTTTGCAGGGAAGGGTTATAGGAGTGAGGGGAGTGTTTTACTAGGGGGCGGGGGTGTGTACTGGGCGGGACAAGGCTGATCTAGAAAGAGAAACTGTTCTTTCTCGATCAGCTCATCCTCGAGCTGACAGGGAAGTGACAGACAGCACAGCTACTGCAGCTGTGCTCTCTGTCACTGTCTGCCGCCGATCGCCGGGACATAGCCGCTAAGGAGCGGCTGTGACCCGGCGACTGACATCTGTGGTGGTGATCCGCGGGACAGATAGGGCGGCAGGCGGCAGCACGCCTCGCACGCACCCCCTATTTGTTTACAAAACACACGTTTTAAAACGTGGTTTTGCCTGTGAGTGCCGCCCTGCTGCCGTATATGTACAGTGGCAGGGCGGCAAGTGGTTAAAACACACAGAAGCTTGGATAGGAAGGAAAAGATACAAGCCATACATGCCCAGTGCTGGTTTTTATAGGTACCTACAAAAGTTTGAAGTTTGTACAATACTTGTGTTATAATAAAATCAAACGGTTTTTTTGCGTTGAGATCCTCCCTGGTATTTTATTTGCATGCATGACCATACACCATCTGAGAAGGACCCACAGGAACAAGCCATTGGAAACTTGGGTATATCCCCAAACACAAGGGCTACTGACCTGACTAGCAATAGTACGTCAACAACTTGTGGCGAGAAAGTGCACAAGCACTTTATCAGGGATTTTTTTTTTTTTTTTTTTTTAACTTGGTTTTATTCACTGTTTATATGAACTACTTGACTTTAATGTTATTTTGTATTACTATAGCTGCCTGTTATGGTCATGTTCTATATTTTATGAGGGTTTACAGCAGTGTGGTTTATTTGTGAAATTAGCGGTCATACTCGTTTTCATTATATAGCAGTTGTTTTAATCCATAGCAGCTCAATTCACAGGAATATTGGATTTACAATTTTATGCACTTTAACTTACCATTTCCTGGATATGAGATCATTTTAGTGTCTTAACATAATGGCCCAAGATTTATGGCTTTCGCTGGATTGTGGGCGGTGATATGCAGCATGTGTAGTGTAATCCATTGTTTTGTACATAGGTGACTGATATGTGCATTTACATTCATGTGTACATGGTGAGGTATGCACACTACCGAAAGTTGTTGGGTAGCTGTATAGCCACCAGAAGACAGCCAGCTTGTCTGCTTCCTTTCTGTATATTAGGGGCAAAGCAGTGGTGGTAGCATAAACCTAGACTGCTAATTTGCACTCGGTCATAAATCTCAAAACTAGTTTCAGAAACCTCACCATCTACAGTGAAGGAAATAAGTATTTGATCCCCTGCTGATTTTGAATGTTTGCCCACTCACAAAGAAATGATCAGTCTAAAAATCGAACGGTAAGTGTATTGTAAAACAGAGACAGAACAGAAACAAAAAAAATTCAAAAGAAATGCATGTCTAACAAATTATGCACCGATTTGCATGTTCATGAGGGAAATAAGTATTTGATACCCTTCACAAAACATGATTTAGTACTTGGTGGCAAATCCCTTGTTGGCAATCACAGAGGTCAGACGTTTCCTGTAGTTGGCCACCATGTTAACACACCTCAGGAGGTATTTTGGCCCACTCCACTTGGCAGATCCTCTCCAAGTCATTAAGGTTTGGTGGCTGACGTTTGGCAACTTGAACTCTTAGCTCCCTCTTGAGATTTTCAATCGGATTAAGGTCTATAGACTGGCTAGGCCACTCCAGGAGCTTAATGTGCTTCTTCTTGAGCCACTCCTTTGTTGCCTTGGCCATGTGTTTTTGGGTCATTATCATGATGGAACACCCATCCACAATACATTTTCAATGCCATGGCTGAGGGAAGAAGGTTCTCACCCAAGATTTGACGGTACATTGCCCTGTCCATCGTCCCTTTGATGCAGAGCAGTTGTCCTACCCCCAAAGCAGAATGTTTCCACCACGTTTGACAGTTGGGATGGTGTTCTTGGGGGTCATAGGCAGCATTCCTCCTCCAAACATGGCGAGTTGAATTGATGGTAAAGAGCTCAATTTTGGTCTCATCTGACCACAACACTTTCAACCAGTTCTCCTCTGCATCATTCAGATGTTCAGTGGCAAAATTCAGACGGGCCTGGAAATGTGCTTTGAGCAGAGGGACCTTGAGGGCACTGCAGGATTTCAATCCTTCTTGGCATAGTGTTACCAATTGTTTTCTTGGTGTCTGTGGCCCCAGCTGCCTGGAGATCATTGACAAGATCCTCATGTGTAGTTCTGGGATGATTCCTCACTGTTCTCATGATCATTGACACTCCATGAGGTGAGATCTTGCATGGTGCACCAGACCTAGGGAAACTGACAGTAGTTTTGTTTCTTCCATTTGCGAATGATTGCACCAACTGTTGTCACCTTCTCACCAAGCTGCTTGGCGATAGTTTTGTAGCCCAGCCTTGTGTAGGTCTACAATCTTGTCCTTGACATCCTTGGACAGCTCTTTGGTCTTTGCCATGGTGGAGAGTTTGGAATCTGATTGTTTGATTGCTCCTGTGGACAGGTGTCTTTTATACAGGTAACAGAATGAGATTAGCAGCACTCCCTTTAAGAGACTGCTTCTAATCTGAGCTTGTTACCTGTATGAAAGACACCTGGTAGCCAGAAATCCTGCTAAATGATAGGGGATCAAATACTTATTTCCCTCATGAACATGCAAATCAGTGCATAATTTGTTAGACATGCTTTTTTTTTTTGAATTTTTTGTTGCTATTCTGTCTCTGTGTTACAATACACCTACCATTCGATTTTTAGACTGATCATTTCTTTGCGAGTGGGCAAACATTCAAAAATCAGCAGGGGATCAAATACTTATTTCCTTCACTGTTTGTGAAAATACACAAATATTATGAATAACCTCAACGTTCCTTAGCTTCTAGTGCACCATGTATATGGGAAAACAAACTGCTAAACAATACATGTAGAAT